TTTCTTATCCTTCTATCCTGCCCCTCCAAGCATTTCAGGGTGATGTATATGGTTCTCCCTTCCACCAATTCATCTTCAAAACGGTCCCACAAGCCATGTTAGGCTGAGAAGGAATGATTGACCAAGGTCATTTATGAGTTTCAAGGGCCAGTGGGAATCTGAACCTGGGTTTCTCCAGACCTAGTCCCACACTGTAATCACTATGCCGTATTTGTGGTAGTCATTTTCTCCCACATCTGTGGTAGCCATTTTAGGCATTTCCATCCCCCACACCATGCCAGAGTGAACCTGAAGAACTACAGATCCCATATGCACTTGACACAAAATTTAAGATGTTCAAAGCTTAAGACTGTCTTTAAAATCCAAGAGTGAAATCAGCTGCATATAAGATATCCTACTGTTCTTTATGCTAATACCCAGTTCAGTCAACCATAACATAAGGAGCAGTGTACTCAAACCACAGTCAAACAGAAAAGGAAGTAGTTGGCCTGTTACATCCTTCACTTCCAATCCATTAAGAACATTATAGAAATAAGACTCCCCCACCCTTTGTCTAGTGAAACTTAACACCTCGTTCATTTCCCCAGTGCGATGCTTTGGACTCAATGAAAGTGCAAACATTACATTAAAATAGTCATCCCCTCTGAGTCATGGCAGCAGTTGGAAAGATTCACAAATAAGGATTTTTAGCCACAGCATGGAGCAAATAGTTCAGAGGGCAGGTGTCCCAAAACAAGATGCAACTCCGCTAACAGGTCCCCTAAGTAAATTATTTGGAAATTACTATTCCTGTAAGCCACCATGACATACTAAGAAATATTTTCAGATAACAGTATTGCAGAAATCTTTATTTATAAGGAACCCCAAGACTAGGTCCCGATCACACGCAGAATCATCTGTGCGATAGGCATGAATGCCAGGCGGATTTTAAGGGTGCGATCACACGGGAACATCTGGCAAGCATCCCGCACACGTCGGCAACCCATTTCGCTCTGCCGAAGAAGCGGAGTTAAAAAATACTGGGGAAGGTGCAGTATCAAATGTGTTTGCGACGGGCCACAGATGGACTTCCCCATGTGATCGCTCCAGCGTGCTCCCATTGCGTCAGTGATCCCCTGTTGAAGCGCACCATAAACACGCAGTGAAGAAAAAAAACGGATTCACCTGCCGTTGCATCTGATCACGCAGTGGCGGGTCAAATTACTACGGAGCAAATAGCCTCCCCCCCCCGCGTTATCTGGCACGTGCGACCGCACTCCTAGTCCCACACTCTAACCCCAAGCCTACACCTACCCCACAGGGTGTCTGTGGGGAGGGGGAGGGAAAGTGATTGTAAGCCGCTCACTCTGAGACTCCGAATGAAGGGCGGGGTATAGATCCAATCTCTTCTTCTTCTACATTCAATGTGTCCCTTCATCATGGAGCTCAACTGTTAAGGCTTTAAGAGACCCTTCGGTACTAACTTGGTAACATGTAAGCAATTCCTTCCTCCTGCAGTTTTGTAAAAGTCATCCAATGGATCCCGCTGGAATACAGCCACCAAGCTTCACATTTCTAATGAATTTATTTCTTTTTCTCTGGTTGGCTGGGGACTGTGACTAATGAAGTCAGTCTGCACAAAGGACTGCAGCAAGCTACATTCCTGCGATGAAGTTGACAGCAGACACTGTTCCTCCCCCTCCTTCCCCCATCTTTTTGGGGGAAGTTGCTCAATAAAGTGGAAGATGATAGGGAGAGAGAAAAAAAGATTGGCAGGATTGGCCACTGAATACAGTGTGCTGCTCCTACATCTTAAAGGAGGTCCTCGTCAACACAAGATAACACTTACTTAATCACTGTAGAGTCCAACGATAATTCAAACGTTCTTTTCGGAAAGAGGCCCTCAGACATCTCTCGAGTGAATGTTAAATCAATTAAAAAGAAAGAAAATTGATGAGCTGTGCAGCCCTAAGCCGAGCTGCACTATTCTAAACCCAGTGACTCAATGGGCTCAGAAGGGTGTACATTGGCTTAGGACTACACTGGAAGCCCTCCTCTGGTGCATAGATGATGGCTCTCATTATTCCAGGTGAGGAGACAAGGAGATGGGAGAGGGGGAAAGAAGGAGGATCCACACATTATTTTTCCCCCTCAGGGTCCTTCCAACTACCTTTGAATCAGTGCGCGCCATCATCCGATGATCCACTCTTCCAAGGGTTGCTGGATGGATTGTGCCAGATCCCATGTTTCTTTCCAACTGTTCTGAGTCTCCTGCATGTGACCTCAAAGAAGGGAGCAGAGACAGCTGGAAGAGAGAAACCAGAGTGGCATAGTCCAGCAGCAACCCTTGGAAGGACAAACAATAAAAAAAATAAGCCTTGTGAGAGGGGTTGTTCTCTCCTGCACCTCTCTTCTGCTCCCCATAACATCGAGAAGAATAAGGAAGCTGCCCTCATTACACCTCCGCATTATATTTCATTGCCCTGTGTGTTTCTTTTTTAAACAATAACTCCTAAAATTAAACCCATAATCTGGAAAAGAACGAAATCCTGATTTTCCCAAAGGAACGCAGCATGTTGAGAAGAAATGTAGCGGCTACGAAACGCTGCATTGCCATGATTAAGGGAGTATTTGAAGATAGCACAGCTAAAGACTACTTGCCCACAACATAGTATGAGCTCTGGATTAGTGTTCAAAGGAGAGAACTCCAACTGCAGAACAGCATGAGAGAACTGATGAACACTGGCCCAGTTGCCTTGGAAACAGGCTGACGCATTCATTTCTTTCCCCCACGCCATTCAGACAGAGAGAGAGAGAGAGAGAGCGCACACCAGTGGTTTCCCTGATGACATCCCATAGCCATATCTGATTGGACATGTGATGGCACAACGTCATCATGTTTACAACACGACCCCAGATTAGCTAGGACTATATTCCAAACAACAAGAAGAGACTGTATCCAGAGCACCACACAAAGGGGAACACAGAAGCTATGAACAGTCATTAAGACAGGAAAATAAAACCCCAAAAGGCACAATAAGGGCTTTTGGAGGAGGAGGCAGGATTTAGAAACCCTTGGAAATCCCATCTTTGAACCAAAACTTTTAATAGGAAAAAAATAATTTGCAGCACTACTCAACGTAACATAGCAGTTCCGGTATTTATTTGCGAAGAAGCAAAATCATGGCTGCATTTGAACTGGACAGCTAATGAAGTATACAGAAACACATGCAAGCTGTTTTGGAACAGTCAAAAGGAAGCTCTTTCCCCCGGATGCCAAGAAACAGGCAGCTAGAAAGGCAACACTGTTTCAAAGTTTGAAAAATAAAGAAGGGGACGGAGAGGTGTTAAGCAACTCGTAGGTGTCTCTGTCCAAAATATGCTAGTAGATTGTACAACTATACATTTTGGACTTAATTACAGCTCTCTGCACCTGTCTCATGAGTCTCATGAGTTACTGAAGATTACTGAACAGGCAGCTGTAGTCTTCTACTGCTGCAACAATTAGGACAAGACAAGAAGCGAGACCAGTGATACTCGCGGGGTGGGGAGGAGTATTCCCAAAGGCTCCCGGCCTCCAGAAGCAGCTGCGCACTAAGGAGGAAGCAGCCGCAGGTAAGCCTTCTCCCGCTCCCCTGGGCCCCGGAGGCGAGGCCTGCGCGGCTCCCAGCCACCAGGCTCACTGAGCCTTCTCCCACCCACCCCAGCACCGGCAGTGAGCCCTGAGTGGCTCCCAGCTGCCAGCCCGCTGAGCCTCTCCCCCAATGGCGGCGAGACAGAGTTCCCAGAGCATTCTCTGCACATGTGCAGGGAATGCTCTTTTACTTTGGGGGGGATTTAAATATTCCCTGTATAGTTTTTAAAACTTTTCAGATTTTTCTGCACCCCTGGGGACTGCCTCAAGTGTGCAGGAAAATCTCTCTGCCCCCCCAAGTGCCCCCGATGTGCAGGGGCCATTTGGCTATTAGATATATAGATTGTTTCTTCTATTCCACCCATTTAAACACTCTCTATATACAAAGAGCTGGTTAGGCAGGAGTATGAGGTCCCTGATTCAAATTTACCTCAGCCATAAAACTCAGCTTCTCATTGACAACAAAGAGATAATATTTACCTACTTTACTACCTAATGATTACTGAGAGAAATTACATGAAACGTGTTGAACGATGCTAAAACACTATATAGCACGACCCCCTCAGTGGCCTTTATGACACCAGCATTCCACCTCTAGAAAAGATATACAAGAAATCACAATTTCACTATGCTGTAATAGATATCTATTCTTCTCCTCACTTGCTTTATTAGGGGGAAAGATGTAGGTCTAGTTTTTCATCAATTAATTTTTCGGTATTAAAATTGGTGGTAAAATTGCATTAAGGTGTTGTTGTTTTTTAATTGAGTGGGCTTTAGCAATCAACATGTGCTCCACAGAGACATGTGAATTAACACAGGGATGCAGTCCTATTATAAATGAGATCTAACTGTAACAGGCTTTTTTTAAAAAAAAAAAAAACAGAAATAAATGTGCTTGTGGACAAGCTTAACGGGAGACCAGAAGGACCCCAAAGTGCTTCAGAGTCTTTTTCAGGTAAAAACTACACTGTATTGTAGTTTGAAGGTGAAAGAGGGTAAGTTTCCATACACAAGGACTGAGAGACAGAAGGAGAATTCAGAATTCGAGTGATAAAAGGTACAGTTGGAAGCCATTGAGCTTTGCCTCTGAGAGATCAATAACATCAGAGCTCAAAGACATCCTAGGTGAGCAATACCACCAAGTTATTAACTCAGGAAAGCTATTTCTACTGGAAGTAAAAAGAAGAGGAAAGTATCTTTTCACGACACAGGTCTCAATGGTCTCCCTTACTTCAGAATTGTTTTACCTTTCTCAAAGTTCTGTAAGCTGCCTTGGGCCATTGGGTGGGGGTAATGGGGACAGGAGAGAGACAAGATATAAATGTTTTCATTACTGTAATTAGTTAAACTGAGAGTGAAGGTCTGGGGAAATGGAAACATCAAGTACCTGAAGTGTCACAGGTCTGTCTGTCCCTTGGAGGGTCCGTTGGAGGTACTCTGTGTCTGTAGACCACGTGTGGCTTCGTATGCTCTTCTTCATATTCTTGCTGGGCAGATGTCAATAGTGGTTCTACGAAATAGTCTCCATCATGTGACCTGAATGTGCCTAGCTGAGGAGGAACAAGATACCAATAGTGAAGCTTTTAATGGCACTCTGCTAAGGAGAAACTTTTAAATCTACTTTTAAAACACAGTTCTACACAAGGGCTGCGTCAGCATCGCAGGATTGCCTAGTCATATCAAATTTGCGTTAGCACACACGGCATTTGGCAAGTACGCTTTGTGGCCCTTATCAACGGCCACTTCACACATTATATACAACTAATCTGTTAAGTCGATGCCTTAAAATTATGAAATATGAATGCTATAACCTTCATGTTGAGAAGAGTATACAATCCAGTAGCAGGGCCACTTCCAGGTTGGGGGAGGGGGCAAAGGCAGAGAGTTCCCAAGGGGCACCTTTCCTATCCTCTGCCCACCAGTAGGACTCCTGGCTAACTCTTGCCTTCCCCTCCCACCCCACATGCTCATCACCCCTCTCATTGTTCACACTCCTAGATCGCAATACATCCTTGTTTCAACAGTGTTGGCAGTGCACGCGGCGGAGAGTGTTGCAACTGTGACCGTCAGGACACTGGTGCACACCACCCATACACTCTTCCCTAGAAGTGCTGGGCAGCCAGGAGAACAAGTGGTAGACCACTTACAAGCCCCCATGAAGGGGAAGGGCATACAGGTGGGTGGCATGTGAGGTATGCTGGTAAGTGCTAGGATCAGTTGTAGGGTTGCTAACTCTGGGCTGGAAAATTCCTGGAGATTTTGGGGGCAGAACATGGGGAGGGGAGGGTATGGGAGCACAGCAGGGTATAATGCCATAGAGCTCAGCCTCCAAAGCAGCCATTTTCTCCAGGGGAACTAATCTCTGTTCTCTGGAGATCAGTTGTAATTCCGGGAGATCTCCAGGTCCGGCCTGGAGGCTGGCAACTGAGGTAAGTAGGCCCTGCCAGGAACACTGCACCCCAGCAGCTGCCCCACCTTAGGGTATTCTGACATAGAACTGTACAGGTGTCCCAAACACATTAGTTGCATCTCTTTGCTGAGCATATGTTCAGGTCGAGCCATGCATGATGCTCAGGTTCTGTAACATGAATTCCCAACCTGTTATCTGACCCTAAAATGCAATTGGGGGGGGGGGGTGAACCAGGGCAGTGACTCCAGGAAATGGGAGGAAAGTTAACTCTTTTCTGCCACACCATTCCTCAGACTGCTTTAAACCCCAGTAGGGAAAAGACAGGTAACCTTACTGTAGATACAGACAGGGTCCACAGTGGGGGGGGGGGGGAATTACTGACAGTGCTACAGCGTAAGCTTTTTTGTGTGAGAGCTCATTTCAGCAGATGCACCAGACCGCACATGGGATGCACATGATGAAGTCAGCCCAAAAAAGTGCATGCTGGATACGGTTTGCTAGGCTTTTAAGGTATCACTGCACGGGATCTCACAAATACAAGTTCAGGAATGATCAAGACTGGACAGAATGCAAAAACTCCTTGGATCCTCATAAAGGCACTTGCTGCTTAGGTCCCTTATGTGTATTTCCAACAAACCTGCTCCTTTCTTTGCCCTCCCCTCCACCCGCCCAACCCCAAGAAAAACCTCTCTAGAAATCTTTCTTCCCCTTTCCACCTTAAGTTTCCAAGAGCCAAGGGGCTGGGAAAGTTCCTGAACTCCCTTAAGGTCGATCTTAGTAAGAAGTCACAATGCCAAAGTTTGGGGTGATGCCTTCTCCTTGAGGAGGTGGGTGGGAACTATTTCCTTCTTCTAGCCATGCATGTCCAGAGGGCTGAAATAACACACTCCCGCCTCCTGCCGAGTCTTCTCCGCAGAACCCTGGGCGGGCGGTCAGGCCTCCCTTCCCACCCACTGCCTCCGCCCACCGAATATCACAACAACAACAAGCCCGTGAGACTACTACAACTGCGCAGGCAGCACTTGTGGTACTACTTCTAGGGCACTACCAGTGGGAATACCAACTACCGGACAGCCCTGCCTGGCTGGTGAGTATGTCTAAACTTGGCTGCTTTGCATCTCTCCGTCTGGAGTAGAGGGGGGGGGGAGTCAGGGGGCGGGGTGGGGAGAGGAGGAGAATCTCTTTCACTCAGTTACGTCTCAAGAATATATTCCCTCACAGAGAATAAATATCCCACACCTCTGCCCCTTTCCAGTCAGCCCGAGTGCTAATTTTGGCAGCAAAACAAAAAAGCTGAGAGCAGGATGGATCGCCAAACTTTGGGGAAGTGAGAGCCCAATGCGATTACAGCTTGGGAAAATCCCCCCTCCCCCAAAACACACTGACGCATAGGAGAGCACAGTATCATTCTCTCCTCTCCTCCATAACCCATGGGGTGGGGGGGCGGGGCTCCCATAGTAAGAATTGGTCTCAGAATTGACAGCTCCGTACCCTAAACACATTAACTGTGAGGTAAGCCCTCGCTGGTTGTTTTTTTTTAAGGGCTCTTCAAAAAGCCATGTGTTGCAGGGCACAGAATTACTGTGTCCGAAAGGCAAGCGGGGTCTCCTATCTTGAGGGAGTCCCTAGAGGGAGCAGGAGGAAAGGAACGCGCAGTTTCTATTTTCCTTCCTCCACCTTAAATGTCTTCTGTTGCAGGGCGCAAAGCACCACCCTTGTTTGGGGGGTCTGACTAGCCTCCTCCCCAATCCACCCATCTCCCTCCCCCTCCTCCAAAAGCCGCCTGGGGTAACCCCACCTCCTTGCTTCCGTTCCCATTGCGAGCCCTCCTGCACGTCAGAGCAGTTCCCCTGCAAAGTTGCCTCGGACACTGCCAGGAAAAGTGCCTGGCTTTAATGGCTCTTTGGAGAAACTACAGCATTTAATAATTACCACGGCTGGTTCCTGGCAGCCCCCTGTTCTTTCCACACACACACACAACACGCCTTTTCCCATCAATCTCCTTATAAGATAAACCTTTGCCCCCCCACCCCCCCACCCCACTTCACTGATGCTGCTGCCTTAACTTTCTTTCCCACCCGGGTTGCAAAGGAGATGAACTGGTTGAAATGTGTCCAGCCGGATGCTGGATGGTTTGAAATTAAGAAGGGAGAAGAAAGAAAAACTGGAAGTTACAACATCTGTCAGTTCGAAACAACGTTGGGATGGGTGGGTTAGGGAAAAGGAGTTTTATTTCATTCAATTTCCTATTCCCTGCAATCCCCGAGGCTGCAGAACACCTCGAGAAGGATTTTCAGAGATAGCTGAATCTCACAGACATCAAGAATGAAGCACAGGTTTCAACAAACGGGGCCATTCCGTGCCATCCTGCAAGTCGTCGTGTCAAAGGGGGAGTCCAAAGGAAACCGGCACCCAGCGAAGGCACTTACCATCCCAGAACAGAGGCTGATCACGGCAGTATGTTGGGGCTTCGTATTGACATGGCCTCTGTAAAAGCAGTGCTTAATATCGCTCTCCTCTTCGGGGTAAAAGTTCGTTTGGTTAATCCCCGGCTCTCCGAGGAAGCTAACAGTGAAGAGAGGGGCAATAAATCCCGACTGGGCTGTCAGATTGAAGAAAAAGTGCTGCCCGAAAGCTGAGAGCTTGTAGTGGGCTTGGCTGGTGTTGGAAGAGGAGGGGGAGGAGGTAGCATCCAGGCCCCAGGGGGACTCGGGGTCCAAAGGCAGGCTCCGCTTCGTCCTTTGAAAGTGGACCTTGGCAGGGAAGGGCTCTCCGAACTCGTTCACCCGGGTTGGAGTCACTATCTCGTACTCGCTCAGGACGTCCAGGAGTTTAGCTGTTGAAAAGTTAAAACGCAAGAGTTCCTGTGAACAGAGGCAGAGGCGTGTGCGAGCGCTGGCGTGGGGGACCGTATTGAGTGCTACTTCGATCTACCACGTGAGACAACTGCAGGGAAAGGAGCCAGCGGCTGTACTAGGAGCTGGGCAAACAGCACACCACCACCACCCTCCCCAAGATCTGGCTAAGTGCGTGGCCGAAAAATTGGGTAAGACCCGGATTCCTGTCAGGCAGGACTGACCCCTGGGTCTTTCTCTAACAGGCTGACAGTCTTATCGCCGACTTAAGCCCTCTTTTCCTTCCTCTGCACTCTTATCAAGTATTGAAAGCCGGGTGTTCCAGGCAGCAACAGAGGGTTAGGGAGCTTCCCGGTTAGGGCACTGGCCCATGAATTGCCTCGCAGAGGATGCATGCCCATAACAGTCCAGTTCTTATATAACCTGGCTGGGCATTGCAAAATAGCGAGCGAGCGAGCCCGTTAGCAACTGCAATGCAAACTGAGCGTAGAAACCCGCCTACTAGCCTACACACATGTACGAACATTCCAAGGCTAAGACAATCTAACCCCATAAGCTCGGGCATTTTTACCTACACCGTTGTAGTCAATGAATTCTCGGCCCGTTTGGAGGGAGGGTCAACCTATTTTATAACAGTTTAAAACTACAGCCTTCTCTAGATTTAAACTTTCCTTTTTTGGGGGGGGGGACGCGAGTCGTCTGCGAACTGAAAAGTTTCGGGACAAACAGAAGTTTGCAGCTGCTTGGAGCAGAAATACACGTGACACGCTGGAGGGGGGCTGTTTTTTGAAGGCTGGGGAGCAGATCGCCGCTTGCAAAGCTACAAACCACGGGCTCTCGAGCACGATATTGCGGGGCTACAAGGCTAACATTTTGTAGGCGGAGACTTGCCTACGCCTGGATTTACAGATGCTTAATAACGCTTAGTAGGATTTCTCTCTCCCCCCCCCCCCCCCCCCCCCCTTCTATGGCAGCGCATTCAAACGTAACCCCCAGCAAAGCAAGAGCTAACTTCTACCCCTTGGGGGGAAAAAAATGTAAAAATCAAAAATCCTGAGTGCTGCCGCTTCTGCTGCCAGCATCTTACCTTGTCTCGGATGCAGCCCCTGAATCCTTGCTGTTACACCGGCTACATTCAAGAAGTCTTGTAGGAACAGCGTGCTTAATCCCACTGCCCATAACACAAGCTGCATGGTGGTTTGTGCCGCTTCGTTGCAGCGGCCAGCCTAGTTTCCACCCCCCCGTTTTGAAAAAAAAAAAAAAAACAAACCACCCTTCTTTCGCCTTCTTGCAGCCGGGGGGGCGGAGAGGGGAGGGGAGGTGGGTTGGAGCCAAAACTTCAGAGAGTTTTTTCCCTCTCTCTCCTCCTCGGCTACTCTCTGCGCCCCCCCACCTCCTCCCACAACTTCACTTTTACGAAACGTGGGGATCACTCTCCTCTAGTGTGTCTCCCCTGGGCTCCGCTGTGGCAACAACCGCCAGCTCTGGAGAGTTGACCGGGAGGAGCGGAAAGACTCGAGCCCCGAGGATCCGATACACCAGCATAATGTAAAGAGAGGGGGCTGGCGAGGAAACGGGGAAAGCCGCGGCGGCACTTTTGGTGGGCTGCCTTCCTTCCCTCCCTCGCGCTCTCTCTCTCTCTCACTTACTCACTCTCCCCCCCTGTTTGCTGGACGACAAGAGTGCTTGGGAACCAGTTTAGGATACCGGAGGAGGGGCGAGATCCGCCAGATCAAATGCCCAGAGATCCCGCCTCCACTTAAGGAGGGGAGCGGGGGGAAGGAGCTCGGTTGTCCTGCGCTATGTGGCGTTAGTGTCATTTGCTTTCCCCTCGCTTGGTCAAATGTGGCTTTTAAACAAACAAAAAAAAACCCCTCTTGTGTGCTGTAGTGTGCTTCCGATTATTTAAGATTATATTATGGAGTAATTAATAATAATAAATGCCTCCCCCGCCCCCCGCCGCCCAAGCTCTTGAGGGAACGAGGTCAAAAGAGCTTTGGAGATCAGAGAGCCACCAGGACTCTTTGAGAAGCGATCAGGGAGCGAGAGAGAGCTCTGCGGCCTGAACTGCCAACAGAGAGAGAGACAGAATAATCATTTCGACCAAGTGAAGTGGCAGCCCTTTGGTTTCCTATGGTGCGCTCCTTCCCTCCTCCCCTTTATGAAAGCTAAAACTGCCTGCTTGAAGTCTTCCCCCTCTGCTATAATTTGTTCGCCTTAAAAGAAGGAAGCTACTTCCAGTCTTTGAAATTATAGGCAGCAGCCTATTTATCCTTCCCTGGATTAAGATCTGATCTGAAACAATCAAGCGCTTCATTAATACTTTATGGAGTGTGAAAACCCTTTGTCGTTTTGCTGAGCTGGCCCCCCCCCCCATGGGAAAAAGAAAGAGAGGACATCAGCCACAAACTCCTTCCTTACAACTTTAATGTAAAAAAAAAAACCCACAGAAAAAAAATGTGCCTCTTAATTTTGTTGCAGTTCATTTAACCCCGTCTGAACAATAAGATACCATTTCCCTTATTTTTAGTTAATTAATACTGCAAAATATACCTTTGTTTGATGTCTGTTGCCCCCAAAAAGAATGTTGACTTTGAAGTGAGCCCCACTGACTTTCTTCTGAGTAAACTGGGCCCTACCACACACAGCAAAATCTATGGGAGCCAAAGTTAAGTGCATTGGCCAGTACTTGAGTTAAAATGGCTACCTCTACTTCAGACCTTATATTGATGTCATGGCAACACTTCTGCAACGGGACCCATGGAAAGGGTTGCCAGGCTCCAGATGGTGGCTGGGGATCTCCTGGAATTACAGCTGATCTCCAGGCAACAGAGATCAGTTCCCCTGGAGGAAATGGCGGCTTTGGAGGGTTGGACTCTATGGAAACCTATCCCTGCTGAGCTCCCTCCCCTCCCCAGATCCTGCCTTCCCCAGGCTCCACCCCCAAATCTCCAGGAATTTCCCAAGCCATGGCTGGCAACCCTGCTCATGGAAAACATACCAGCATATGGTGACAGCAGGAACATAAAAATGATGTCAGCACATGCTGACTCAAAGTTATCATGATGGAGTAACTACAGCACTGCTCTGGCTAAAAGTTAGAATTCTGCAGGCATAGCTAATGGGATTGCAATGCAATGCAGTTACAGTCGTCTAAACCCAAAGGGGATAAGACTGCAGTAATTCTGTTTAGGAACGCACAGTCAGGAGTGATCCTTTTTGTTGTTCAGTCGCACAGTCGAGTCCGACTCTTCGTACCCAAGGCCATCTGATGAACTTTATAACCCAGCATATGTTCGGTCTTTGATTCCTTGCAGCTGAACTCAACACTCAAATCAGTTGTCCATAGTGAGTCACTAAGGTTGCCAACCTCCAGGTGAGGCCTGGAGATCTCCCAGAATTACAACTGATCTTCAGACAACAGAGATCAGATCCCCTGGAGAAAATGGCTGCTTTGAAGGGTGGCCTCTATAGCATTATATCCTACCAAGGTCTCTCCCCTCCCCAAACCTGCTCGACTCCAGGTTCCACTCCGAATCTCCAGGAATTTCCCAATCCAACCCTATCATAAACATCAGATTACAAATATGGTTTATAATCTAATGAAAATTAGTAGTTCTCCTGTTCCTTTCAGTGAGACAATTGCAATCACAACCCTGTTTTTCCACAGTAAACCCAGTTGTTTAAAATGGAAGTTGTTTCTGGAGTTTATGCTTTAAATACTGCCTTGAGTCCCCATTTAGAAGGCAGGGAACAATTGAAGTAAATTAATAAATAAACCTGTGCTTCAAGCTCTCTCAACTGAGATTACAATCTTAAACAGAGTTACATCCTTCGAAACTCATCAGTTTGAATGGATTTCAGAAGGGTATAACTCTGTTTAGGATTGTGTTTTCTAATGGTGTTTTGGCTGAATAATGCCCCCTAGAAATATTTTAAAGGTTTTGTGATTTTATAACAAAAATGTTACAATAGCCAATGGGCCTTTTTCTTTCTTTCTTCACAGTCCAAACTCTTGATATCTTTTAATCAGAGATTAAGAGTTGTTTTGTAATTTTTATGTTCAGTGCCAATGATTGCAAAGAAAAGTCTGAAAAAAAATAACCTTATGAAACAAACAAAGCGCAAAAACCAATTACAAAAGAGTTGGCAATTTCAGGCTCAAGGGGAGATGGAAACTCCTCCATTCAGCGTGGTCGGCCCCTTGTAACTGCCTAGAATGTGTTAAGTTGGCTCCATCTTGGTTACGTTCTGGCTCCACTCAGGGCTTAATTTGGGCCATGTCTCCCTAGGGGCCTTTGGGCTCATCTCTAGAACCTGCTTTCAGTGCTAAGGGTCAGCCCTGGAACATTCAAAATGGTTATAGAGAAAAAGACTTGGGCATGCACAGAGTGATTTTTCTTCACTATGGACTGAACACAACCATCTCCTCCCCTTTGCAAACAGACAGCAGGGTTTCCAAGTCAAAGAGTATCACCTCCTCGTACACAAACTCCAGCTATTTTGGCAAACTAACTACTGGCTCACACGTGATAATAGAAGAGAATTTTCTACCGAATTACTACAGTAAATGATTTTGCAACATATCTTTATTGACTCTTCATTACTTTTGTCACGGATGTTGTTGTTGTTGGATTTCCACTTCTTCCCGTGATCTCTCATTTTTGGCTTCTACTACCTGGAGGTTGGCAATGCTACAACTGAGTCAGCCTATGGGATTGCCAACACTGTCTACTTTGTCTGGCAGCAGCTCTCCAGGGTTTGGGGCAGAGGTCTTCCATCTCACCTCTTACCTGCTAACTTCAGATGCTCAGTCATGAAGTCCCAGCCTCTTTCTCCAAAAGAGAATGGTCACAGGAAGGGATTCAAAGACACAGAGTTCTTGGGAGTACATTCACTCAAGGGCTCCTGCTGACCAAACTTTGAGAAGCGCCTTTGGCCGAAGAGGATCAGGTGGTCCTAATGAAGTGAGATTTTCCCAGTACTTAACTGCATTTTTTGCCTCTAAGCAAAAGAATATCCACAGTGTTCAGATATAAGTGTTTTGTACTCCACCCCCCCGGTTTGGCTTTGGTGATGGGGATCAGGTTCTAGGTTAGCCAGATGCGGATGATGAAATGGCTCAAACCTTGCTGTAAGGATTACACAGGAGATGGAATTTCTCCAAGTGTGGCTTTTCATATCAGAGTACTGATGAGAAAAGCAGCACTTTCAATTCTGCACAACTCTTAAAACTATAGGAGCCCAGTCCCGAGTGAGGCTAGGGTTGCCAAATTTTTGTTAAAGCCCGTATACCTTTGGGAGTTGCACGGCAAGCAGAAATTCAACAGGTAAAACCTTCCCTGGCATCTTGATGCAGTGATGAGGGAAAACATCACCAGTTTTTGTTTGTTTGTTTGTTTTGGGTTTTTGGAGTTAGAACTAGGTGATGGATGTGTTTCCCACAGCTTGCCTCGAGTTGGGGAGAAAAAAAGCCCTCGATGGATTCTGAGTACTCAAATGAAACTCACCAGAAGAAAATATAAACTTCCATCACCAATCAATCTCCTGCTTAGGGTTGCCAGCTCTGGAAATCCCTGGAGATTTGCAGGGTAGAGCCTAGGGAGAGTAGTGGGAGGGCCTCAGTAGGGTATAATGCCATAGAGTCCACCCTCCAAAGCAGTCATTTTCTCCAGGGGAACATCTCTGTCATCCAGAGATCAGTGGGAATTCTGGAAGCTCTCCAGCCGCCACCAGGAGATTGGCAACTCTACCCTTGCTATCTCTCCTGAGACTCTCCTGACTACCTTCCACAAATTTACCAGGTGGCAGAGTAGAGATGTAAGAAATGTTCTTACCAATTCTAACACTGCTTGGCCACCTAGAAAAATAGTGCAACTGCAAGAAGAATTTGAGCACAAGGAGATTTGGGAAACACAGTGGACTGGAGAACTACATTTCCCAGAGCACTTTGCACCAGGGAGACCATTTGCAGCATTTTTCTAGGCGCCCAATAGAGGGAGAGATAGGAGAAAGGGAGACTTGGTTATCACTTCTGTCCTAGTACCTGTTTATAAAGGGGAGCAAAAGGAGTTCTGAATGGGGCAGTGGCAAAGGGGGGACTAGCTGGTTGGTGAGCCCCAATGCAAGCTGAGACCTAAATTCAAAAGGGTTTGGAATTACCTTGCACTGAGGTGAATAGTTTTATTCTAAGTTGCCCAAATTTGGAGTCCCATCAGTATCACTAGCTGCTAT